AACACACAACCTATTGACACCTCTGGATTTCCAGCCATGATAAAGAAAATTTCTTGCACAATGTAACATGTATGAATGTAACATATTCATGATTCGTATATGTGCATAATTGTGACGAAAAGTGAGAGGGAGTATATACGAGGTGTGATCAGCAAATAGCTGTGGGTGAAATTCTGCAGACACTTCTACAGAAGTGACCCCCACCCAAACCCATAAAGTTCTTCTTACCATTCATTGTAACCACAACTATGGACTGTCCTGCGATGACACTGGACGATACTCGTAGACAACCGCATATTGTCTCTGGCATATCCAAAGGTACAAGACGCTCTTGAAAAAAAACACATGGATAAGAATTAAAGAATAACATTTATTTACTGGCATCTATTTTAAACAAGATGTACTTGACGGCTTCATTGACCTATCAGTTTTTCAGTCAAGTCTAAGAATGTGACTTTTAAAAACTACAACTTACCACACTGTGTTAGAACCCTCTCCACAACACAAGTTGTGGGAGGCAATGGATGAAAAAATGCACGTGTCATCGAATCCCTGTTGTGGAACACTTGACCTCGGTGGACCCTGACATCACACTGGCCACAGAGGAATGGGTGTGGTCGGCAGTCACAACAACGGATAACGGCTGGACCATTTCCACAATGTTGGCAGATCCGAGTTGCCGCATGTTGTCGAGCCACCATGGTGTTGACCAGTCGGGGTCTCTCTTTCTCCCACCACCCTGATATGAGGCTCTTTCGGGTCGACCAGTCTGTTGAGGCTTGAAGTGCCGTTTCATCCTCATGTATGTCCTCACCCAGTGAGCTTTTAAGCTCTTGAAGGAAGGACTCTGTTAAAACAATGCAAAATATTTAAAAACAGTAGTTTATTATAACAAAAGAGAATAGCATTGAACAATGGCCATTTTATAATAAATGAACATACTGTTTTGAACCAGTGAAGTCAAAATAAATAACACACCTGCAGTAACGGAAGGAAAGTCACTGGTCATTTCCGCACTGGTTTCCGGAGCCCTGATATGAGAGACACCAGTCTTTCGACTCTGGTTGTGACTGGGACCTGCTGTAGCAAAAAAGCTGTTGCTTTTTACACTCAATGACACAAACTTTACCTGATGCTAGGCACAGGTACGTAATAATAACCTCAGATATGTTCTAATTCAGACCCATGACTTGTGATCATGTTGTATACCATTCCAAGATGCAAAACTAGATCTGGAGTCTACATTTTAATTACATTAATGTAAAAAAAATCGTACCTGCTTGTTTCCGGGATGATCTGGGCCTGCCGTAAATAATGTTTCCATCACTGTCCCTCTTAATCCACCTAACATCTTGCTTGCTGTTTGATGGCCGGCTGGAGAATGGATTACTGGTGGAAGGCTGACTGGTGGATGATTCTGCTTCCTGGTGCATGCTAATGAGCTGTTGGAGGTGAGCTTGATGTTCAGCCTGATCGACAAGGTCACTCATCTCATTCAGGAGACGGTCCATCTCAGGATCAGACATGGCACAAAATATAAACACACAGGGACAAAAAAAAAGACAAAACAAACAAACAAAAACCCCACTCAGAGGGG